GGGGTGGGGTGGGGTGGGATGGGATGGGATGGGGTGGGATGGGATGGGATGGGATGGGGTGGGGTGGGGTGGGGTGGGGTGGGCTTTAGGGTCCCTCCTGACCCAGCCCACCCCAAAATCCCCGTGACCGCAGGGCCCAGCCCAGTCCCCACGCCCCAAAATCTCAACGTTTTCATCCCCATTTCCCAGACCAGTGTCCCAGCCTGGACTCTCACCCCACTGGGCCCAGCTCAGGTCCCAGCCCAGTGCCCCCATCAGAGATGGGGGACCCCAGCCCAGCCCATCCCAGCGTCCCATGGCCCATCCCAGTGTCCCACGGCTCATCCCAGTGTCCCACGGCCCATCCCAGTGTCCCATTGCCCATCCCAGTGTCCCATGGCCCATCCCAGTGTCCCATGGCCCATCCCAGTGTCCCATGGCCCATCCCAGTGTCCCATTGCCCATCCCAGCCCCCCATGGCCCATCCCAGTGTCCCACGGCCCATCCCAGTGTCCCATGGCCCACCCCAGTGTCCCACGGCCCATTCCAGTGTCCCATGGCCCATCCCAGCCCCCCATGGCCCACCCCAGTGTCCCATTGCCCATCCCAGCCCCCCACGGCCCATCCCAGTGTCCCACGGCCCACCCCAGTGTCCCATCCCCAAAGTCCCACCCAAAATCCCAGACTCACAGCCCAGGTCACTGTGCCCTCCTGCTGCCCCGTGCCCTGTCCCCAGCCCGAAGTTTCCATCCTGCTGTCCCATTCCGATGGCTCCATGTCCATCCCGATGTCCTCATCCCACACCCCATCTCCGTGGCCCATCCCAAAATCCCCCAAATCCCCCAAATCCCGTCTCCTGTCCCCAGCCCTGTCCCCCCATCCAGAACTGCCCCCGTGACCCCCGGAGCTCCTGGTGCCCCCCAGCACCCCCCAATCCATTGCATATTTTTATTGGATCAAAGTTACAGACCTGGGGGGGAAATAAAAAATAAATAACCCCCCCGAGGGTGGGACCCCGCGGGGCTCGGGGGGCAGGGACCCCCCGTCTGTCCGGGGCTCAGGGCTATGTACAGGGGTCCGTCTGTCCGTGCCGCGGGGGCTGCGTGGCACCAGCCCCCCCCCTCCTCGAGCCCCCCACTGCCAGCCGGGGGGCTGGGGACCCCCTGCTCTGGGGTGTGGGGGGATCCCCCCACGGGGGTCCCACCGAACGGGGGATCCCTCTGCCCAGGGGGGTGCTCCTCCCGCCCCGGGGGTCCCCTCGCCTGGGGGATCCCCCTTGCCGGGGGTCCCGCGGGGGTCCTTGCTGCCCGGGGTGATCCTGGGGGGGGGTCCCGGTGCATGGGGGGACCCCCTGGCCCCCCTCAGTCCTCGGTGATGCCCTTGGCCCGCAGCTCCTCCTGCACCCGGGCCAGGTACGTGGGGTCGGGGTACCCGAACCTGGGGGCAGAGGGGGCAGCGGGTCAGGCCAGGGGCTCCCCTCGGGCATCGTCCTGCCCCAGCCCCGCTGCCCCCGTGCCCCCAGTGCCCCCAGTGCCCCCGGACCCCCACAGCTGGTGCTGGATATGGTGGATGTCGCTCCCCAACCCCTCAGGTGCCCCCCCAGGTGCCCCCCAGCGCCCCTGGACCCCCAGATGCCCCCAGAGCTAGTGCTGGATGTGGCGGATGTCGCTCCGCTACCCCTCAGGTGCCCCCCCATGTCCATGGGTGCCCATCAGCCCCCCAGGTGCCCCCCAGCACCCCCCAAATGCCCCCCAGTGCCCCCCAGTGCCCCCAGG